ATAGGGATTTGTTCAGTGATTTTTCATCATTTTGCCTTAATTTGGAGATGGATCAAAGTTTATGATTCTATATAATAGGATCAATTTCATTCGAAAATACTGTCAGTTTAGAGTTGGGAGAGACTTTAAAGTTTACCTAGTCCAGTTTCTTCTTAAACACAGAACCAGGCTGTATTATCTTGAACATGAGGTGTGGGGAAGATGCTAAGTTTCTTGAGAACCCCAAGGAAGTGCATGCTGTTGCTACCACTTCTGGCACCTGGCCTAGGCCCTGGTTTCCTACGAGACTGGACATTGCACATGTACATATTTATTCACTTTGTGCTTGCCTCTGAAGGCCAAGAAGAAACTGAAGCCCAGAGATGTGATCAGCCTAGATGAGATGATCTGCAGGATAGCATGGCAAAAGAAGGTTTGAGTTTGGCCTAAGGCTTAAGAGAACATAGGGGAATGCTGGAAACCAGAGAAGGACATGTGACGGTTTAGACAAGTATGACTAGATCAGAACACAAGCATGTGGAGCTCTGGGCTCATTTCTAATACTCTTGCTTACTTGTAAGTATATCTATTTCCTAACCTGAGTTCAGGTCCTGGCTCTTCTTATTAGTATCTGTGTGACCCTGAATAAGATTTTATGTGCCTGAACTTTAGTTTTATTTGTTTAGTTTATTAGTTTATTTGTAAAATGAGGGGGTTCTAAATTATCTGGAACCAGATTTTGCCACAAGGCATAAGACTTTGGAGGCTCACCAACTACTTCCAGTCTCTTGGGTACGATTTAGAAGCCAAAAAAAAACCAGGGGGGCAGCAATAAATTACTACAGAGTATCATAACATGTTAGAACGGATACCGGGATCACGTAGTCCAATTAAACTAAATTTACAGGGAAACCGAGGCTTGATTTCCACAAAGTCTCAAGTCACACGGTGGAGCAGGGATTATGACTCAGGACTCTAGACTCCCTGTGAAGCCCTCTTTCTGATAGTCCTGAAGGATTTGTTGCTATTCTCCAGAGGTACATATTTCACTACTCTTGTGTGGCCTGGAGTAGTAGGAGTGGGAAAATTTGGCTCCATCTCTAGAAAGCTTCCTTTCAGCTTCTCAGAAGAAGGTGTTACATAAATACAAGATGGTGCCCTCAGTGATGGAGATGGAGCCTAAATGTTCATTCTGCTGTGGAGGTTTGCTCCTCTGAAGAGCACCCCTAGAAGCCAGCTCCTAATCCTACCAACATTGGTTCTGTCCTCTGGCTGGGGCTTAGCTTCCCAGTTTGTAAAATTGGAATTTATTAATGTCAGTCATGAAGGCACCATCTGAGACTTCAGGGTGGGGCCTTCCTGGTGTAAGAACTCTATTCTGAGGCATTTCCTAAGGCACATAGGGACTAAGTGACTTTCCTGGAGTCATTTGGCTAGTAAGTGTCGGAGAGGACTCTTAGCCCAATTCTCTATACACTTTGCCATGCTGCCACTATTTATTGGACAAGTGTGTAAAGAATTTTTCCTTTGCCTGTATCACATTCTAGGCCAGGGGTGAGGAACCTTCAGCCTCAAGACAGCCCTTTGACTGAATCTAAACTTCACAGAACAAATCCCCTTAACAAAAAGATTTGTTCTGTAAAACTTAGACTTAGGCAAAAGGCCTCACAAAAGGACCTAGAAGGCCACATGTGGCCTTGACACTGCGAAGGTTTACCCCTGTTCTAGGTAGAAAGGTGTTGCAATGGATGGAACACTGGGCTTGGAAGACTTGAGTTCTAATCCAGCCTCAGCTACTTATTTAGCTGTGTGACCTTGGGCTAGTCACTTCACCTATGTGCTTCAGTTTCCTCAACTGTCAAATAGGAATAATAATAGCACCTACCTGATGGTTGTTGAAAGAATCAAATGAGGTAATTGTAAAGCACTTAGCACCTTGTCTGACCCTCACTAGGTGATTTATAAATGTGTGTTCTCTTTCCTGTCTACCTTGTATTTTACTTATTTGCATATGCTTTCTTATGTCTGCCTCAGTTTCCCTCAACACTCAGCTCAAGCTTTACCTTTTGTTGTTGTTCAGTCACATCTGACCATTCATGACCCCATTTGGGGTTTTCTTGGCAAAGATACTGGAGCGGTTTGCCATTTCCTTCTCCAGCTTCTTTTACAGATAGGGAAACTGAGGTAAACAAAGTTAAGTGACTTGCCTAGGGTCACACAACTACTCAGGTCTTTCCGACTCCAGGTCTGATGCTCTATCCACCTACCTGCCCCATTCATCTCCTTTTACCTTGCTTTTATATTGTCCATACATGTCTCTCCCTTCCTTGGGGGTAATATAAGTTCCTTGGGGGTAGGTGGGGATTGTTTGATCTTTGTCTCTTGTCCTTGGCACATGTGTCCTTGTTGGTCGATTGATAAATATCATATTCCCCACTGGTAGATTTAAACTCATTAAAGGATCATCAAATGATAAGTTTAGAGTTGTATGGGACCTTAGAGGTTATCTAGCCAAACTCCCTCATTTTACAGATGAGGAAACTGAGGCCAGAAAGGTTAAGGAACTTGTCCAAGCTGATGGAGACATCAGGGTGGAGTTTTGAACTCAGGTCCCCTGATTCCCAGTTCATTGCTCTTTTTGATGTAACAGAAAGAAACTATCATTTTCATCTTTGTATCACTAGTGTCTAGCATAATGCCTTGTACCCTACCTGCTTAATAAATGTTTATTGAAGGAGTTCAATTATTTGATGTCAAATGAGTCCTTACTCTAATGATAATCCCAATGATGCCTGACCTACGTGTATTTTAAAAGTACTTTCTGGGGCAGCTAGGTGGTGCAGTGGATAGAGCTCCAGCCTTGGAGTCAGGAGGACCTGAGTTCAAATTTGATTTCAGACACTTGACACTTAATAGCTGTGTGACCCTGGGCAAGTCACTTAACCCCAATTGTCTAAGTAAAAACAAACAAACAAACAAAAAGAACTTTCACAGGCATGTCATTTACATCTCAGAACAACCTTGTGAGCTAGCTGTGTCAGATAAGGACATAAAGGCACATAAAAGCTAAGGGACAAACTAGAGGACAGCCAGGATAGAAAGGGTGCTTGAGTCCTTGCATGTGAGGCTTCAAGGAACTAGGGATGGTTAGCTTGGATGATGGAGCTTCAAGCAGAGGCAAGGATGGGGTTGGGAGGGGATGCTGTGATAGCTGTCTTCAAAGATTTGAAGGACTCTCCTGGGGAAGGGGGATTCGACTTCTTCTGGTTAACACCAGAAGGCAGGACCAGAAGCTCCAGACAGAAGTTGCAAAGAGACAAAATTCAACTTGATGTCAGGGAAAACTCCCTAAAAATCAGAGCTGTGTGTAAGCAGAATGGACTAGCTAGGAAGGTGGGGGATTTCCCCTCCCTGGAGATTTTTAAGTCAAAGGCTGGAGGACCACTTGTAGGGTATGTCGTGGTTAGGATTTCTTTTTTTCGATTGTAATTTGTACTAATGTTGCTTGAGGTCCCTTCAACTTGAAATTCTGTGATTCTGTGACTTGTTCAACATAACACAGCCAGTTAGAGATATAACTTCAAGGTTATCTAAGTTCTACCAGGGTTCAAGATAACACAGTCGGTTAGAGGTAGAACTTCAAGGTTATCTAAATTCTACCAGGGTTCCCCATCTCCTGACTCCTCCTACTTGTACTAAGGTGCTTTTTGGGGTACTACTCACCCATTCTGACCTAGGCTTGATCTCTATAGTGCTTTGAGATGGGCAAAGTGGATAGAAGCAGCATAATAATGCTTTGTCACTTTCTATCTTGCCCTAGCCCTAGGACTGGGTGGTGGTGATGATGGTGGTGGCGATAGTGATGGTGATGATGATAGTGATGGTTGTGGTGGTATTGAAGAACACTATGGCATATAAACATTGTGCTTTAATCTTTAATTGTAACAAGGAAGTGAGCTCAAGGGAAACCAAGGAACTTGGTTTCTACCTGGGTCCTGCTCTAGAATTATTCACTTCTAACACATAGTGGAGTGGACCCCACTCAAGAAACTATGAGTGCTGATGGATGCATCAGCTGCCACCTGAAGGAATTAGCTCCATTGAAGAGGGGGCTCCTGATTCTCTGAGTTTTTCATTTACCAGTTAAGTGGCACAGTGGACAAGAGCACTAAACTTGGAGTCAAAAGGACTGAGTTCAAATCCTTCCTCAGAGAGTTACTAGCTGCTTGACCTTGGGCAAATCACTGAACTAGATCTGCCTCAGTTTCTACATCTGTAAAATAGGGATAATAATAGTACCTTCTTCCCAGGGTTGTTATGAAGATCAAATAAGAATATATATATATATATATATGTATATATATGGAGAGAGAGAGAATTTTGCAAACCTTAAAGCTTTGTGTAAATACAAGCAATAATGATAATGATAATAATAATGATAATAATAATTCAAGATCCATGGATACTAACTTTGGGGAAAACCTTACTAGGCATTAGTATTTCTCCTTTTCAGAGTGAAATGGTCCTGGTACCTAAAGGTTTGCTGACTCCCTTTAATCTTAAGGATTAATGATTTACTTGGTCTCTAATCCAGTAAGAGGAGGAGGGAAACTAATGTGAGAACAGTGCCCGATGAGCTTTCTTTTGATCAGACCACAGTGATTGTATATGGTAGGCTTGTGTCCCAGTGTTCACAGTGAAACAGGCTGGAGGTGTCAGGGTGTGCCAGCACTGTTGCATCAACAAGAGGAGCCCTGGGATAATCCCATGGAATGTGTGCAGCCCTTAGGCAGTATTCCTTCCCTGACATGCTGAGTAACTGTCTGAGGTGTGGTGATATCACAATTCATATTTTCTTGGACTTCTGTCCCAGTGATGCGTTGAATCATCAGCTTCAGGGAAAGAATGCATAGATGCCAGCAGAATGTAGATATGGCTGTCCAACCAAAATGAAACGGAAATGCTGACTCTTTGTTTTCTTCTCTCTCTCTCTTTCTATCCCCACCCCCTTTCCATGAAAGGTTGGCCTTCGACAACTGGACATGTCATTGCTCTGTCAACTGTACTCCCTCTATGAATCAATTCAGGAATACAAGGGGGCTTGCCAAGCAGCCTCCAGCCCGGACTGCTCTTATGCCTTGGAAAATGGCTTCTTTGACGAAGAGGAGGAGTATTTCCAGGAGCATGGTTCGCTTCACAATGGGAGGGAACAAGGTGCCCCGATGGACTTTACGCTGCCTGTCACTTCTCTCTCCGACAGCGATTGGATCCTGGAGTCCATTTAGAAGACTTGGAGGAGGGATGCATCTGACTGTAGGGGGTGTGTGTTGAGGGGATACTCTCAGAGTCTCTTTTCCTGTTACTTCTGCCCATTGTTTGTTTCAGGCAGACTGTCAGTACATTCTCCTCTTCCTGCAAGCACTCCTTTGGAAGAAAAAAAAAAGTCCGTACTGTTGTGCCATGGAAAGTCATTGGGCCTATTGAGATGGGAGCTGTCAAATTAATTTATGGGCAGGCCCTTCATCATTGACACAATATGTGGGCAGTCTGTCCCAATGGCTAGAGTTTCTGCTTTGGCAAATAGTCAGTGTCAGACAATGATTCTTGATGTCCCTGTGATGGGGACTTTGTTGAAGATTTGCATCCCTTTGATGAAAAAAAAAGGCCCCTCTTCAAAATGACCATTTAGTGGGGGCTGGCCTGTTCTGTATAGATTGAAGTTATCCGTCCATATGGTTCTGTATTTGGGCTCTTCCCTGGATGGGTTGTTTGCACCCTGTCTTGTGTGCTGTGGATTTTTTTTTTTGCCTCGTTTGCCATGTGTTAAAAATAACATTTTACTGTTCCCTTTTTTAAACACATTCTGCAGCTGTTCATCTGTCTTTTTTTTCTGTTTAAATGAGCTTTCAGGACTTTTGGCTAAGTGGCATTTTGTGAACCATATAACTAACTGGCTTACCGTTAGTTGACTTTATGAGCCACCTATTGAGAAGTGACCCTTTAAGATCATTTGGGTGCCAATCTGCTGGTTCCCAAGATACCACAGGAGGAGAGTCATTCTTTGCTAGTCAAATGCAGTTGGAAGGAGACTAATATTAGGTTGTATTTAATAGGAAAAACTGGGGCAAACTGCAATATTTTGTATTACCTAAACTTTTCATTATAAGCTATTGGAAACTTTTTTTTCCTAATCTGTGAGTGTATCTTGAAAGTGTAGTTCTAGTATGTTAGACAGAAGTCAAACTGCTCCCTACTATCAAAAGGATAATTGCTGTTGGCCTTACCATATTTATTAAAGTGATACTTTTAAAAAGCATTCAGCTTTGTCACAGTTTGTTTAATCTGTGGATGTGTTGAGAGAAAGCAGTTATTTTCTGTGTTTTAAACTTAGGATGCATTAAAGTGGGTCACTGTAGCACAAATGGAATAATTATGTCTTTGTTCCCCACTTCTCCCACAAGTTACCTGGGACTTAGAAATGACTGCCCTGGAAAGAAGGAAGCTTCAGGCAGAGTTGGAGTCTTGGCATGATGGATATGCATACACACACACACATATACACATATATGTATGTATATATAAACACACATACATATATATACATAAATTCATTTTATTAAATATTTCCCAATTACCATGTAAAAAAATTTTAACATTCATTTAAAAATTTTTGAGTTCCAAATTCTTTTCCTCCCTTCCACTGCTCCCCACCACTGGAGAAAGCAAGCAATATGATATTGATTATGCATGCAAAACATTTCCATATTAGCCATGTTGCATAAGAAAACACATGCAAAAAACCCCAAGAAAAATAAAGAAAGTAAAAAAAAATGCTTCCATCTGTACTCAGAGTTCATTAGGTCTCTTCCTGGAGGTGGATAGTATTTTTCATCATGGGTTTTGTAATTGTCTGGGATCATTGTCTTGACCAGAGTAGCTAAGTCTTTCAAAATTAATCATTGTTACATTGTTGCTGTTACTGCATACAATGTTCTCCTGATTCTCACTTAATTTTGCATCAGTTCATATCCGTTTTCCCAGATTTTTCTGGAACCATTCTGCTTGTCATTTCTTATAGCACAATAGTATTCGATTACAATCATATACCACAACTTGTTCAACCATTTCCCAATTGATGGGTAACCCCTCAATTTCCAATTCTTTGCCACCACAAAAAGAGCTGCTGTAAATATTTTTGTACAAATAGGTCATTTTCCCTTTTCTTTGATCTCTTTGGGGTATAGACCTAGTAGTGCTATAGCTGACATGATGGATCTTAAGGAAGCTTTGGCCCTCTGTTGATTCAAAATAATATTGACTTTTGGTAAACAGTCAGCAAATGTTTACAGACAACTATCGGGCACATGGCTTTAGAGTAGGAGTTCTTCATTTTTTTTTTGTGCTTTGTGGACCCTTTGAGAGTCTGATGAAGCCTATGGACCCTTTCTCAGAAGAATATTTTTAAATAGATTAAAAAAAAAAGGAAATTACAAATGAACCCAATTATATTGGAATATGGTAAAAATATTTTTTAGAAGTTTCCAGACCCCAGCTTAAGAACCCCTATTTTAGAGAGTTATTCAGATGTCCTGTTTCTCTTTTGCCCTTCAGTCATTTCATCATTACAGTCAAAATGTATGGAGGACCAAAGATTGGGAATAAAAAATAAATCATCATCTTTGAAAACATTTTGTGTACCTACATGTAGATTACACTATGCTAGGGGTAAGATGACTTATCAGCTCTGCTAAAAGAAGTTAAAATTAAAAGGCAAAAATAGGGGATATCAGTATATTGTTATGTTGGGGAGTGAGGATAGAAGGGTGGATCTGGACCTCCCAGAGGTGTAGGAAGCTCCTGGTGTAGAAGTTCCCTCCACTGATGGTGACCAGTAACTCATCTGTAAGTTAACCGATATAAGGAGTTGCCTGAGGGTACTTAGAAGTTAAGTGACTTGCCTAGGGTCACACAGCTAGTAAACGTTACAGGTGGGCCTCAAACCCCAGTCTTTCTGGCTCCAAGGTAGGTCCTTTATCTACAGTTCCATGTTGCTTCTCAGATTTCTATTACCCAGGTTATTTTATTCCCTGTTCTTCAATATCAGGAAAAACTAACAGTTTGTTCTATTTGTCTGGGCTGTGGGCTATATGACATCAAGAAAACAGGAAGGCAAACTAACTGTGAGGTGAACTGGTTAGTTTCAGAATAGCTGTACAATCCGGGACTTGGGGGGAGGACAGTTTACACTTTAGAACTCCCAGGTCAGTTCTGATCTTGAGAAACTCTTTGGAACATTTCTCAGAGATAAGTCAGAACCATTTCTTGTTCAAGTCTAATTGCTGGCCTGTACTAGACCACTAAGACTTGTACCCAAACTTTCTGGTTCCACTTACATATGACTGCAAAGGGAATAACTTGGTCTTTCTGGAGCTGTTCAGTTCAGGCTGGACCTCTGAGACTGCCGTCCTCTGAACTGACATTCTGAGCCTAGACTGTGATTGATTTTGGGGAAAGGGTGAGCGTGGTGCTTCTCTCAAATGTAATTGTTCCAAAGCTTGGTAGTGTTGGAAGTGAGGTGAGATGTGAAAGAATGCTATCCTTCAACTTTCTGGAGGGCCTGACAATATATCCCTTTATCTTATGGTGCTGTGTACCCATGGCTCATCCATTCCTCTTTCTTATTCCAGGTAAAATCGTTCACACACCATCCTGCTTACTTTCTAAGCTCATATACTGTATACAAGGTACTGCTATAAATAGAGCCTGGAAAGTTAGTTCTAAAAATGACCAGCCCACACAAATGTTTTATTACTCTGACCTTCCCAGGGGAGGAGGTGGGGCTGGAACAGTCTACGAATAGAAAAATAAATGAAACTAGAATTCTTTACCTCTTGGCATAAATTCTTTCTCACTGTGGATTATGGACATCTTCCCAAAGTGGAGCAGAGTAGTACAAAGCTCACATTGAGAACCAATTGTGCTTTTATCATGGAGGCAGGATATGGTGATCTTGTGAGCTCAGTCATAGGTCACTATCTGATAGAGAAGACTGGAAGAAATGCTGGACAAGTACACAACGGTTTTGATCTATTGAGAAAAGCACTGAACTGTTAGAAGTTTTAGCTCTAGCCCTGCCACTAATGACCTCCAATGCATTGGGGCAAATCACTTGATAAACCCCTTGGGCCTCAATTTCCTCATCTGTAAAATGAGAAAGTTGAATTAGGCGGAGCCAAGATGACAGAGAAAGCAGTGACTTGCTTGAGCTCTCCCCCCAAACCCTTCCAAATACCTACAAAAATGGCTCTAAACAAAATCTAAAGCAGCAGAACCCACAAGAAGACAGAGTGAAACAAATTTCCAGCCATAGACAGCCTGGATGGTTGATCGGAAAGGTATATCACGTGGGCGGTGAGAGGAGCGCAGTTCAGCGTGGGCACACAGGCCGCAGCGACCCTGGAGCAGGCCTCAGAGGACTGAATCTCGGGCAGCTGTGGCATGGCGGTTTCCAGACTTCTCAACCCACAAATGCCAAAGACAACTTAGAAGGTCAGTGGGAAAAGTCTGTGACTGTGGTGAGAGAAGGAGCTAGGTCTCAGTCGCAAGTCCCGAGCATGGCCTCTGGGGCAGCGGCTGCCTCCTGAGCTTCCAGCCCACAGACTGAGGGGGAATCAAGTGGCTGATCAGAGGGGGATTGCAGGGATCTCTTTGCCAGTGCTGAGGCAGAAATCTCTTGCTTTGCTGGTGCTTGGATCTGGGTCACAGTTCTGATGGGCGGTCCTGGGGCAAGGAGGAGTGCTGGTGTGGTGAAGCTTGTGACGGTGGAGAGAAAACACCTCACCCCTTATCATAGCACCTTGGAAGAACTGACACTTTTCAGGTCCCTAGAAGTATCTCTGAAAACAGCTGTACAAACCCCCAAAGCTTGGGACAGTACATTCTCCACATTGGAAACAGATTTTTACCTTTACAAAGAAACTCTTTGTTAAGTAATTGGCCAGGATCATGAGTAAGCAGCACAAAAAGAGTCAGACTATATCATCTTACTTTGGTGACAAAGAAGATCAAAACATACAATCAGAAAAAGACAATGAAGTCAAAGCTCCTACATCCAAAGCCTTCAAGAAGAATATGAATCAGTCCCAGGCCTTGGAAGAGCTCAAAAGGGATTCTGAGAAGCAAGTAAGAGAAGTAGAGGAAAAACTGAGAGTTTTGCAAGAAAATCATGAAAAACAAGTCAACAGCTTGCTAAAGGAGACCCAAAAAAATACTGAAGAAAATAACACCTTAAAAAATAGCCTAACCCAAATGGCAAAAGAGGTCCAAAAAGCCAATGAGGAGAAAAATGCCCTAAGAAACAAAATTGGACAAATGGAAAAGGAAGTCCAAAAGATCACTGAAGCAAATACTTCCTTAAAAATTAGAATAGAGCAATTGGAAGCTAGTGACTTTATGAGAAATCAAGACACTGTAAAACAAATCCAAAAGAATGA